CAAATATAAAAATTATCCCAAACGCTAACAAAAATTAATGATTTTGCCCATCCTATATTTATGCATTTTTTTCTGGAAGAGGTAAGAGTTAGCAATAAAAACATTCAGAACTGGTATTCACCAGGAAAACAAAAAGCATGAAACTAATTTACTGATCTATGAATAACTTAGAGTTTTCCATAAAAATAGATATGTTGAGTTAGGTCTAAGTTATGGGAAAATAAATGACTTAAGAATAAATTAAATAGTAGCCAATCCATTTTGCCAAACATGGACTAATTTTGTATATAAAGAAGATAAGGACAAGAAATTTGGCTTTTCCATGAAAATCAGCTTTATAGTCCATGAATCCTATGCAGTGAGCCTAAACTAACTGGAACTCATTTTATCTATTTTTGCTGTTTAATTTTACTTTTATTTGCTGAGATATTCATGGTAGATGAAAAAAAATAAATAAAAACTCTTCCTGTTTTCCTTGACCCAGCCTTAAGTTATCAACACTGTCTCTCTACCCAAACCAAATACAATAGATAATTGCTTACTTCTTGCACAGACTACTACCTTGGAAGTGGTGACTGTTTTTTATAAGTAATTTTAAACCACCGGAAGACTGGCACACTTTCAATTCTGGAGCAAACAGGGATAAATCGGCATTTACTCAATGAAAATGCACCATTTTTTGAAACACCGCGGTCATTGCAGTTATTATTAAAATGTTGTTCTATCTCTCACTTTGACAAATACACCTGATAGGGTTTGGCTGTGTCCCCACCGAAATCTAAACTTGAATTGTATCTCCTAGAATTCCCACAAGTTGTGGGAGGGACCCAGGGGGAAGTAATTGAATCACGGGGACGGGTCTTTCTCGTGCTATTCTTGTGATAGTGAGTAAGTCTCATGAGATCTGATGGGTTTATCAGGGGTTTCTGTTTTTGCTTCTTCCTTATTTTCTCTTGCTGCTACCATGTAAGAAGAGCCTTTCGCCTCGCACCGCGATTCTGAGGCCTCCCCAGCCATGTGGAACTCTAAGTTCAATTAAGCCTTTTTGTTTGTTCCCAGTTTTGGGTATGTCTTTATCAGCAGCATGAAAACAGACCAATACGACACCCAAAATTTACATTTCCATATGTCTCAATTTGAGATGCATCCCAAATGTTAGTTCTTACAGTCTTACAAACCAAAAATGTAAGCACTGAATTCATAGTGGATTCCATTATATTTTCAGTAAAGATGCACCACAGAATTATGGGAGTTTAACAAATCAGTAAAACGGTGGAAGACAAACCCTCCAGGATATGTATAAAGGAGACTTAAACAGTACATTAACAAGATGCTGCCACATCTTTCCCTACCTTCCTCAAGCTCATCAAAAGTAGAAAAGACCCTCACTGGGAAAAAATGTCTGTAACAACTTTTTTGAAATATATAATTTCCATACCATAAAATTCTCTCATCTTAAGTGCTCACTGACATTCTTGTATTTACTGTGTTGTGTAACCGTCACCATCACTGGGTTCTAAAATGAGTCCGTCAACCCAAAAAGATTGATCCTTCATCCCTTACTGAGAAAATTTAAAGGTAGAAACAACATTTTCTGTCTTACCTTCTCTTTTTATTACTCATGTTTCATTTCTTCATATATTGAACAAGGATTTGCTGAGCAGCTACTATGTGTCAGGTACTGTTCTAGGCAGTGGAAATAATAAGTAAAAAAGAAAACATACCTGCTCTTATGAAACACAGAAAGAGACACACACATTCATCCTGATTGGATGCAAGGAGAAACCGTGGACAAGATGAATAAGCAAAATACTAAGGCAGGATAGACAGTCTTAACAGAAAATAAAAACAAAAATACAACATGGACGACATGGATCTGTTTGCTTGTTTGTTTATACATATGAGTAGCATGGCTAAAGACGGTTTTGCTGGAAAAGAGATACTTGTATAAAGGAGGTGAGCCAGCCAGCTTTTCAACAATCTGAAGGAAGAACATTTCCCCAGTCCAGGACCAGGTAAATGCCAATATCCTGAAGCAAGGGAAAGAATATAGTATTCAGAGAACACAGAAGAGCCTAGCGGGTTGAGCAGGAAAACAGGGAGGGTAGCGACGAAGTCTAAGAGGAAGGAGAAAGGGGGGTCAACTGGCTCTTAAAATCCATTGTAAAGAACATGGCTTCTACTCTGAGTCAGGTGGGGGAAGCTGCTTGGACACGTTGAGCAAAAAACTGACGGGAAGTGGCTCAGATTTTAGTAGGATCACTCAGGTTGCTGTGTTGAGAGAACACTAAAAAGGAGGGGATCCAGAAGTAGAAATCGGGAAGCAGGGATGACAGGCCAGGGTGTGAAACCCAGGATCCGGAAGTGAGGATCCGGAAGTGGGGATCCGAAAGCAGGAATGAGGGGCCAGGATCCGTAAACAGGAATCCAGAAGCCTTAAGGCAGAAGCCAGGAGGCAGAAGTGGGGATGTGATTGGGAAGCTAATACAATTCCCAGTTAAAGACAGAACTGAGCTGATTAGGGGAAACACAGGGAAAGGTGAATCAAGGCAGATCTGAGGATTTGCAGTAGCTTGCAGAAAATGTTTAGAATCGAGAATGACTGCAGGTCTCTTTTGCCACAAACTGCTGCAAGAGCAGCATTGCCGATTACTCAAATGGAGGTTATTGAGAGAAACAGTGCTTAAGGGGAAAGTCCTTAATTTCCTTGGGGATGCTTGTATTTCCAGAAAGAGAGTAATCATTTATCGATCACTGTGACTGCTATACTTTTGGCCTTTTTTTTTTTTTTTCCCCCAAATAGGCTTTTCTAAGGAATAGATTAAGTACCAAGCTGCAGGATACTCCCACTCTATAGGACTGCAGTTCAGATAAATGGGTAATAAAAGAGGCAAAAGACACAGAATTAACTTTATTTCTATCTTTACATTTTCCCGGTAAGTCATGAAGGATTTTACTGGGGTGATGGGCTCATTCTAAAACTAGATGATGGTGATGGTTGTACAACTCAGTAAATACTAAAAATTATTTAACTGTACACTTAAAATAAGTGATTTCTATGGCATAGAAATCATGTTTCAATGAAGTTCTTTAAAACATTTTTCCCAGTGACTCTCTTTTCAACATTTGGTGAGAATGAGAAAAGTGTGGAAAGATGTCCCACCTTGTTAGTGATTAAGTCTGCTTTAGAGATGTCATAGAAGGAATGTCTACCGCCTTTTGGCTGATATGTTAAACTCCCGTCATTCTGGGACTCATCTTCACTGAAAATATAATGAAATCTTCCACAAATTCTGTACAGACATTTTTGGTTTGTAAAATTGCAAGAACTAAAGTTTGGGATGCTCCTCACAATAAGACATATGGAAGTGTGAATTTTGGGTGTATTTGTAACAGTGACAGAACAACATTTTAATGAAAACTGCAATAGTTGCATTTTCATTCAATAAAAGTCCACTTAAATTTGGGAGATGCAGCTTCCATTCTAGATTATTAAGTTGCTCCGATATACTAGGAAGTGTCAGGACAGCTTGGCCTTCCTACTTTCAGTTAGCACCCTCATGACCCTGGGGCTGTCAAAGGATCTCTCTCCAGATCCTGAGGATCTTGTGATAGCAAGGCTCTGTAACAATCATGGGAGCAAAACTACCTTGCTCACCTCCACTAGGCAGGAGGTGCCACTGCAACTCTTACAGGAAATTAATTCAGCATCTGTCTCTAGAGGCTGAGAACCACTTCTGTCTAATGTCTGATTTTGCAGTCTTATTCACAGAGCACCAGCCCAAATCCTGCAGGCAACTGAACAGATGGTAACACATTTTGACCAGAACATGTCTGGATCACATTTGAACCATGAAACTCAAGGTGAAGCATTCTGAGGCTTTTTATTGATCACTACACCTCCTAACCCACAATTAATTATTTATTTCACTTGCCTCTCTAAATTTTCAAATCAGTTGGAGACAGAGTCTTAAGACAAGGTTTGATGTCTTTATTTACAATTTCACTTTAAAGTTTGTTTAGTTCATGAATTTGCCTCCCTGGGGAGAAAAAAAAAATACTTTTTTTTTTTTTTTTAAAGAGGCTTTTAAATGTAAAGGGTTACATTATTCATTAATGTCACAATAAATAAATTTATTTAAAATAAAATAAATTTAAATTAGCTTCTGTGTAAGAAGATAACTTGTGATTAGTAAGAGAACAATGTAACTAATCTGTATTTATGAAACCAGATCCTTATAATTAGTGAAGCAGATGTCTAATTAATTTGGAAGGTACACAGCCATATGGACACAACTAGAAAAATAAACCTGAAGATATTATTCATAGCTGGTCAAATTATGTCCTTCAACCATCACAGATCAACCACGAATGTAGCATACTGTTCATCTGATTCCACAGAGGTTTTAAAATATCGATGCAGTCAGAACTGAACAAAATTATAGCAATGATTAAATGACTCGGGAGGGGTTTAAATTCTAGATGTTATGAAGCAAAGGTAGGAGTCAAATTCACTTTCAACTTAACAATCATTTCAAGAAAGGCTATTTTGTCTAGAATAGCTAAAATTCAGTGTTTCTCTTTGAAAATCAATTGAATGGTGCTCGGTCTGTCTCTTATACACATCTAGATGTGTATAAGAGACAGGTGTTAGCCAGGATGGTCTCGATTTCCTGACCTCGTGATCCACCCGTCTCGGCCTCCCAATATCTTAAAGCAAAAACTCAACAGATGTTGATAATGAAAACCCCTTGCCACTTCAAAGTTTAAAAAAACTCCCTTATGTTATCTTCTATGAGATACTGCAGGTAAAATTCCAATTTTGTCCTTAACCATAAATGTACATGGTACCTTCAAACACATCTGGTCCCGTTCTCTAAAACAGCAAAGCCACCTGTTGACTAACTATAAATATGAACATAGAGACAGTGAATCTGCATTCCATGTGTGCCTGGGAGCAAGGATAGTATTCTGTGTCTGGGAAGAAAAGGAGGGCTGACCTTTGGAAGAACGGAAGTGTTTGCTGGGGGCAGTGAAGCCTCGAGTTCCATGCACATTCACAGCAGCCACTCGAAACTGGTACCATCGGCTGGGTCTTATGTCAGTCAGTTGAACTCGCTCATCTGTGGTCTGAGGGGACATGTCACAGAGCACAGGAAACATGTCATTTTTTATTCCAATATGTTGGTCGGATCTGTTTTAAAAAATACACTAACCCATCAGCCAATGCAACTCAGTCTATCTTCCTCCTGATAAGAGGGGCTTCTCATGCCCAGTTAGGAAGAGAGCTGTCAGGGAACAAGGAACCACTGATATTTCACCCCAAAGAATTAAACATCTCTTGAAGTCAAAACATTATGACAAGAGTTTGGGCTATTTTAAAATCTGGTGACTAATTACAGCATTTGAGATATTCAATCAATAGAGAATATTGATGTGTAGTAATTGTTACATTACAGCAAGAAGATGAAGTCATCTTCAGATTATAGAAAGAAAATTTCTTTTTAACTCACATGCCAAATGTAACAGTAAAATAGGTATAACAACTCACATGCAACCCACTAGCAATTTCTGGAAGTAAATTATAACCCAAGCCACTGTTTAAAAATCTCTGGAGTAAATCACATAACATCTACGAAGAACCACTCCTGATCTAAAAGGGTGAGATGTGTTAGCATATATTTGTTCAATAAAATGCCCAAAAGGAAAAAAATAGACACTGGGGAAGACCAGAAGGTTTTGCTGTCTCTAGTGCTACAATTTTAAGATGTCAAATAACTTTGACAGTCTTCATACTACATATCTGCTTTCAACAATGCTCTGTGTTTTGTTTCTATTGGTAGATCGGAAAACCTTTGCCCTGAATTCCAAGAAATAACCATCTACGGTCTATGCCCTCATCTATATCAGGTGCCAAACTCAACTTGGATCTGTGGATGAAACTAAGGAAACAGGACTGGATTTGAACACTCCCAAACTTCAGTTTATAATAACTGAGGTTATAATAACCTCAGCTTAAAATAACTTAATGTGAAAATGACTGTCATGTTTACATCAATATCTAAAAGAAGCTGAACATTTCTGAGATCAAAGGAAGAATATGAACTCTTACATGTGGCTTTCTACCTGATTTGGCAGACTTTGAGAAAACACTTTCACCTTTGTTATTTAGTTTCAGCTGTGAATTTAAAAAGCTTAAAGTCAGCGTGGTATCCACAGCGTTTAGCAGAGAAGGAAGTATTACATGTAGCATTAACAGGAAAAAATAATACCAACAATAATAAAATAGCTTTTCACTTTCCAAAAATCTTTTGGAGATGAAAGAGATGATCTTATTGTCAGTTACTTTCATAAATCTTTACGTAATTTGGAAAAATTACAAACGAATCTGTGCCATGATTTATGAAAGCATGCCGTGTAAATCAAATGGAATTTCAGGCTGTATTCTGAGTAGCTTTATGTTTTACTGAAGCAAATTTTTTTTATATATAAAATATAGGTATAGAATAGAATTACTAAATTTATTTGCCCAGTTTTTTGTTTTCTTTTTTTCTAATTTAATGTTGTATTTTTACATCAAACTTCTTATTTATTTTGGGGTCTTTACATTGTTTTATTTTAGTGCTTAACCCCTTTGAGATACTGCTATTCAGAAGATATTCTTCTTCCAAACACCTAAATATTGACATTTATTTTACATTTACTGAAAAAAAAAATAGGAATCTAGTCCTTGGAAAAAATGATCTAATCAACATAAGGTGAGATTTTTTTCCTATAGACATAGATGTGGAGAAGGCGTTTTAGTTGTGTAAAGGCATGAAACAGTTTCACATTCACATTCAGAATCTGTTACTTTTTATATCCATGTAGGGTCTTTTTTTGTGTTGGGGGGGTGGTTGCAGCTGGTAGTGGATTTAACAGCTCTTAAAAAGAAAGAAAATATTTTGCTTTTCTCATCAACAAGACAGAAGAGGAGGAAGCACTCTCTGGGAGTGCTGCCATGCAGGTGCTGTATCAGTTTTTAAGTTGACTAAGACAAAGAAGAAAGCACTTAGTGAAGATTTATGGGCTGCTGGCTATGTCCCACTAAGTAATTTTGTGATACAAATCTTATCCCATGCTCCTAAAGTCTGTGGGTGGAATAAAGGTGTAAATGCAGGAGAAACAGAAGAGAAGGCATTTAGATTGTTAAATGTCAAATTAGTCCTCATAATGTTGCATTTCCCCTACTCTAGTTGGCTTTGAGTTTAGCCGAGGAAAATGTAGTTCTTGGAGAAAATACATGTGAATAATCAGGTTATAAAAAATTAACACCCTTCCATGTGTATTTGAACAAATTAAGCCAATGGTCCAGTTTCTCAGCACATTTGTTTGTATCTATGAACCTCATCCTCTCTTTAGAAGACCCCTATGATGTTCATTTCATATCTGAGTAAGTAATTTCTGTAGTCAAGCTATTTTGAGGCATAGCAAATTAATTGTATGTGCATATGTATGTAGCAGACACTACCTCCAGGATGAAAATCAAAGTTTCTATGAGGTTCTTACCTGGGCCACTGTCTGCCAATGAGTGGCATCATCTTCGCTAGGATGGATTCCGTAATTCCATCTTCTTTGTACCACGTAGATCACAGGCTCAATAGAAATATTGAATTTCGAGGACCACTTAACCTCCAGCTGTCCAGACTGCAGTTCTGTAAATCGTAACTCTTTTCTGGGCTTCAGGGGGACACCTGAAATAGGACCGTACCAATTAAAACAATCTGCGTGTGACTCAAATTGAAGTAAAAGTTGAGGAAGAACAAATATGGAAGAGATGAATCTGAACTGATGACAGCTGAGATTTCCTTTCACAAAAGTGGCCTCTCCATACAGGGTTTCACATCTGAAGTCTTCTGACACTCAGTTCAGCTATTTGCTCCTTTTTCTTTTAACTTGCCTTGGTTTTTTTTTTTTTGTTTTTTTTTTTTAATAAGACAGTCTAAATTGATTCCTGATTCTGAACAAGTGGCTTATTCCCTAGTAATCTCTAGAGCAATCATTTCATGTGCATTCTTGTGAATAAATCATGTTACAAGGTTGTTTCACTTGAGGTTAACATGGAATTCACACTAGGAGATCATTATAAAGAGTTTCAAGTCATTTTCCCATTTCTTATCATGCTCTGTGTCTATTGACATGTTCTAAGGTCATTATAACACGGTTTCCAGATTTGATCTTCCTTCTTTCTTAGGGAGTTTTCCATTTAAGGAAAACACTGCAAAGCAAAATCTCTTCATGTGAAATCTCCTAAGAGTGATTTCCAAAGTTCAAGTCTTTTGGATTCCCCAATCGATTGCTCAAGCACTCCCCTATAGACTTAATGGCTTAACATTGGAAAATAATGAATTTATTATGTTTGGTTTTGGCATGAGTGAGTGCGCTGCTTCAAAAGTTTCTCACAGGTGTTTCATTTTAAAGTAGTTAATCATTCTGATTTGTTTCTCGCCTTCTGTACATGCAAGTTGTCTGGCAACTGATATATTGAGGAACCACAGTTCAAAATAGCAGGCATTTCAAAAAGGGAATTTGTAAAGAAATTTGTAATACTAATAGAATATGCAAAACTAACTGAAGGAAACAGAATCTATGGCTCCATGATGGTGAATGCCATCAACACCAAGAACACCAATTACCATTAATATCATTTTCTGTCCACAATTTGCTGAAAGCATTGAAAACTCATTTCAAAAGCTAGTTAAGAATGCTCTATTTCTTCTTCCATTTTGTAAGTTTAAACACAGAAGAAACTGGAAAATGTGCAAACACCAAATGCAAATAAGGTTTGATGCATGTTGACAGGCTTGAATTTCAACTCCTATTTCATTTTGATCTTAATTCATGGTAAGTCTCGTTTAAGCAAATTTTAAAGTCATCAAAGATTTGGATGGATGGAATTGAATAATTTTTTAAAGCATATTTATATATGGTCAAAAGTCATTAATCTAAAAAAAACTACTTTCTGGAGAAAATGTTGACCGTACCTATTGCAGTCTCCTTTATTACTGGTGGGTCATGGCTGAGGAGTGACCTCTAGTTTACAATAAATTTGTCTCACCTAATCCTTACTGTGAGTTTGTGAAGTGGGTAAAGGGTTAATTATCTACATGTTGAATAGGAGATAATTGTGTCTAAGGAAGACTAAATTAGTTGCCTGGGGCTACAATCTGATCTCAGGTTTCTCTCTGAATTATCTGCTTCCTTCTACATTTCATATTAGAAAAGGCCACATAGAGAGACAGAGAAAAGAGGTGGTTTTGATAGATATGCAAATCCCTTGGACATTCTTATTCTAAGATGCTCAGCTTTCCTGGTGGATGTGGAACTTCACCAAGTCAGTCTTTGACTCCTGTTCTGCCAGACATGCATTTATTTCAAGCTTGTATCATAAACTTTTCATCTCAGTGCATAACCATAGCAATGGGGGTACCTTGACTTGGATGATTAGCATATTGCTGCTAAGCAAATGTTTTTCCAGTCTATCTCTAATCCCTGGCTAAGCTGCAGACCATCTTTTCCACCTGCCTGCTGAATTTCTCTGTCCTAGATATGTCCCTTCTCCTGCGATATCTACCTTTATGACAACTTTATTCTTTAGGATGTCTAAGGGATCTTAGAACCTTTTTGATTTGTTCTTGCAGCTAACAACATTTAGTTGTCTTACTGCTTAGTACATTTTCAAGAATTATCAAATCATTCTGTCTCCATGATGGCCACCTGACTTTACTCCCTTCCTTGTTCCGACCTTTCAACCTATTTCCCTGAATCTCAATCTCTTTTTCTAATGTCCCCTTATTGGTACTTTGTGGTTATTTTTCTAAAGTAGAAGCGAAGTTCTCTCCTTCAGCTTCCCAAACTCTTTAATTGCATCCCATTTTCTCTAGAATGAAGGGAAACTTATTGGCATCCCCCTCAAGGCACCCTTCTTCATGATTGGCTACCATTTATTTGTCAGTCTATCTCCTGGTACATCTTTAGTTTTTGTCACAGATATTATCTTTAAGCCCAGCTTTCCTACAAACACACTGCCAGGTACTTAATAATACCATGGCCTGTTTATTTTATTATTATTATTTTTCACTCTGAAATGTCTTGCCTTCTGTTTTCTAACTGTAGACCCTTGAATACTTCCAGGCTCGGACCAAATGCCATCCCTCTGTGACACTTCCCCTAAACCTCCCAATTGGAAATAAAGGCTTTATTATTTTGCCCCCCTTCAATGTTGAGCCTGTAACTGTCAAGACATGCATTTAACTGCCTCTTGCTGCAGCAAACTCATTTAATGATGCCTGTCTTCCCATTGAGCCACAGCCCCCAGAGGTCAAAAACCACGTCTCCTTCATTCCCGCACCTCACAATGTCCCAGAAGAGAACATTCTGCAATAGCAAATGTTCAATGAACAGTCAATGTTTGCTGAATGAATAGCCAAACCCACTTTCTTATTCTTCGCTCAAGAATATATCTGTGGAAATAAGAGACTAGGGCAACATTTATGCAAACCATAGCAACAATGGTAATCCCTACTCTGCTTGAAAGTCACGTAGGGCAGGGTGAAGATTTATCATAGATATTCTGTACTGCCATCTTTATCATACATTGTTTCAAGCAACTCACATCTCTTTTCCAGCATGGGTTTATTACTCACATGAACATTCACTCTGTTTTTTAAAAAGGTAAATACCAGAAAATAAAGCAATGCCAAAATGTTTACAAGATAGAACGTTTTTATTACATTGACCATAGGACTTTCCCATTAAAAAGAAAAAAAAAAAAGACCAATTCCTGATGGGATAGAAATTCCAAAGTTAATTGATTTTAATAGAAGCAGCTCTGTATGTTTTGTGTCAAGAAAAAAGTCACAAAAATTTGTTCAGAGTGATGAAAAAACAATCTCAACAAGGTGATCATTTAGTATCATTCTTGCATTGAAGGCTGGCCTGCATATGCAAGACAAATAGTTCTACCGAAGGGGATAAGGCAAGAGAGAGCAGTCGCAGAGGACATTCCATGATTTACTTGATTCCTTGGTGCATAGTAAAAAAAAATGATGACTAATTCTTCAAACTCATAGAGCGCATTCTCCGAGACTTCTAAATCTACCTTTTTCTTTGGCTTTCCAATGTATAATCTTTTGGAGTAACTACAGCTACAGTAAATAGCCTCCTAAGTAACCTGAACTCACCAGAAGCCAATCCAAGCAACCCAGTCCCCTCTCTGTAAGGTTTTAATCTTGAGTAGCATTCAAGGACCAACAGCCTTAATCAAATGTAATGAGCATCAGGGCGATGTCAGTTCAAATTTCTTCATTTAAAAATCTCTTTAATTATGATGAAGCATGACCCTGCAATTTGCATGTTAAGAAATGGTCCATCTGCTTTCCATTAAAGTCAGTTGGCTCCTTTGATTGGAAGTAACTCCAGCACTCTACTGTAATTGTGTGCAGATGGGGCTCAGCCCCGCTCAAGACCTCCAGCCCTCACTGCCGGTGCGCACAGTCCTCACTGGCTGAACCAGCATCCCAACTGCATAACCAGATGTGTAGACTGGATCTCTTCTCAATGTGTTTTCTATTATGTAAATGATTAGCATTTTTCTCTTTAAAATTATTTTTGAACAAATTAGTCATCTGAAATCTAAATGATTCTGTTGAAAAATTAGCAAACATTATCATATGGCACCCTGCAATATGTGACATACACTTTTTTTCTTTAAAATGCAAGAAATATTCTGCTGAAATCAAAAGAACAAAAACCCAATGCTTTTTAAAAATGTTGAAAATCTATGGATAGAAAAATCAATTAGGATAAGCAATCTACAATTGCATACTCATTGTGAGATTTTATTATTACTATTAATTTTTATCATGCATCTAAATGACATAAAAATGTAGCAAGATGTATTGTTCTAGTGATTTCATCACTACTTGATATCTCTCATAAAGGTAATTAGAACTCTAGAATTTGTATTTACATCACATTAAGGCATTGGGCTGGCTACTGGATGCAAAATGTTGAACATTTATTTGTGAGAAGTTGTAGAAATCTATTTCCAGAGGTCTGAAGTTTAAATATTTTATATATTAATTATTTGTGGAAATACTAAATCAACTCTGTGTTCGGGTCTTTTTGAAAAGAAACCGATTGACGTACAATTAATTCTTGGTTTATCCACGGCAAAGGGAAACTATAGGTCACAAATTAGTCTGAATCTTTAGGTTTGTAAAATTTTTTAACTTTTCTTTCTCCCTGCCCAAACCATTTTTGCTACAGTTGGAAGCCAAGAGAGGCAGTGGGATTTGGCAACAAAACAGTAAAATGTATCACTCTCTGGAGGAAAGACTGTCTCACCAAGCCATAAAATAGACGTACTATAGACAGGAAAAAGGAAGTGCCCCCAAATGCACTCATTTGTGTTCTACCTGTAGAAGATAAGCCTTTTAAAGTTTCTACAGCTCTATGAAGAATTGCATTTCATAGAACTAGCACCAGCAGGCATCTCCAATCATGTTATTATTTCCAAGCCTTCTATTTTGATGCTAATAATTTTATTTAAAAAGTAAAAGAAAGGATCTCTGCTGTTTGTTTTAAACTATAGTCTATGAAGGTTAACTTACTTCCAGGCATCAGTTAAGTGCAGTTTTTACAGCATAGCCCAAATGCAGTGCTCAAATATAATAGGGAATTTTGTTGATCATATTTTCAAGACACCCATCGCTTTTAAAAACTCAAGTGACCAGTATAAAAAGCTCTTGAAGCTATAAAATCAGTACTTTCTATCTTCCCTTCCACAAACACAACAGACCAAACAGAAAGTATGTATGTATGTATGGGTTTTTATAATTTTAAAATATTTTAAAAAATTAATTCAATAAGTAATAAAATGAAACATATACAGAGGTTGGTAAATGTCCATTTACTTAAAGGTTAGAAAAACAATTTGCCCACTTAAAGAGTATTGTGAGCATGACAATCTCAGTAATAACCCATGTGGGGGGTTAGTGTCACATGGATCCTTGTACCCCAACGCCCATTATAGATGACAGCAAATAGTAGGCACTCCATAAATGTGTATTTAACTGAAATGTGTCAATACTTCTCCAATCAAGTGACAGCAGCCCCTTGTAAAGGTAAACTGGGGAAAATGTTAAGAAAATGTTATTTTGGATTTCCAAACAGCAGTATGCAACACTTTAATACATAAATAATGAATGAATGAGGAACTTCAGGTTTTCAATATTTATCCCATAGAATTTGGTTCTCTATACAGCACACACTGTATCTAGTTTTATATGCTTCAACCCTACAATGTAACAATCCCATGTTATTAATTAGTCTAAAATGATTCATAAAGTAGTGATTTTGTTAGATTAAAAATATTCTATATTGACAAATCTTTTACTTGGCCTATTAGATAGACAGGTAGGTAGATAATGGATTTAGATACATTTTGGGACAGGGTCTCACTCTGTTGCCCAGACTGGAGTGCAGTGACATGATCATGGCTCATTGTAACCTCGAATTCCTGTGCTCAAATGATCCTCCCACCTCAGCCTCCCGAGCAGCTATGACTACAGGCACGTGCCACCATGCCTAGCTAATTTTATTATGTTTGTAGAGATGGGGATATCTTGCCATCTTGCCCAGGCTACTCTTGAACTCCTGCCTCAGCCTCCCAAAGTGCTGGGACTGAAGGGGTGAGCCACTGTGCCAGGCCTTAGTTAGCCTATTATATAATAACACAATGATGCCCAGTGAGTGTTTCCATTAGGGCTCCATACATTCAAAACAAAAATGACAGGCGAGCTAGCCCAGGTGGGAGCAGATATTAGATCTATTTCTGCTACCTACTACCAAATCACTTAGGCATAGGCTGCAACCTCAGTTTCAGCAGCTGTGAACGGAGAGCCAAGGACTAGTTAATCTCAACCCACCATGACTCCCACTCTTATTAAGGAAAACAATTACACAGACCTAGCAGAGACAGAGAGAGGGAGGCAATCTTATTTCACATTAGTTTGTTTGGGGCAATAAGAAGGCATCTTGGAGGTAGGAAAGACAGTGATTATGAGTATCCTAAGATTGCAGGTTGGTTTGTGCGCTGACTGGGCACATGGTTTTCTCCTCGCAAAGTCAAGGGATGGGTTGGAACGGACTGTTTCCCTGGGGCTTGTGTATATCAGTCCCCCTCTCCTCTTCTGAGAGTGAAGAAGCAGCTGGACTCCAGGTTGGGAATGCCAAAAGGGGCTTCAAATGGCTCATTAGCTAAGATGGTGAAGGAGTTGCTACAGGCTCTATTTGCCCTCCTTTTACACACACTAACATATTCAGAGGCACTGTCAAAGCTCCCAGGACATGAAGACAGCCTTCCTTGAGGGACTACTGAAGAAAGCAAGAAAAAATATCTACCTGCATATATGTCTTTTTTTGCAAAATAACAATCTATTAACTAGACTGCCTTCGTTACGCAAAAGTCATTGTCAGGTCAACAGAGTCTGTTTATTCTATTTGTAGTTGATTCCCATTGATTCTGTCTCTCTCCACAAAAATCTAAGTTAAGAGCTAATTTGTAGTAGAAGAGTGACTTCAGTACTTTAACAAAAGTTCATCTGGTTTCGTTAAATGTAGTTTTACATTGAAAGTATCTCTGCATCATTAGTCATTTATTCTGGCCCTTTCTACAATATTCCGCTTATTCTCTAGTGAAACAGGCATATTTGAAATTCATAGTAACTCTTCAGTCCTTTTATAAAAGTGCATATTTTAATTTATATTATCTCTTTAAAACACTATAGGTTTTACAAAAGGGTTTAAAAAGACCATTCCAAAAGCATCCTATTTTTATGGTGAATGCTACTCATACATAGCATATTATCTTTAATGACAGATAAAATTTCATATTAACAGAGGCTTTAAAAATTAGATGGTTTTAAATTTCGCAATAGTGACTTGCTGTAGTTTAAAATAAGAGGCATGAACACAATAAAACTTTAAAACTATTAAAGAAACATCACTTGGTAAGAAGAGAAAAGCAGCGATTATTTTGAATGTAAGACATAGTACTTATGGCGTGTTTCCAACGATAAAGAAAATAAATGGTTGAATTACATAGATTTCAGAGGAAAGTATTCCCAAGTGGGAGCTACAGGAAGATGGGACAGATACCTAACTTCTGGGAGATGTGAATTGTTATGAGTGTTAGAGTAACATGGACTTCCAAAAACAGGCAGCCAGCACATAAATCAAAACTGGCATTGATGGTGAATACTGCTTTATACACATTTTTTTTTAAGTACCAGTATTTAGAAACAATATGGATTTGGCATGTGTGTGTGAAAGACACACAGAGAGAAAGACTTCTGTTACTCTCTGTACTTTAATGAATACTGCCTGCTGACTGACTCTATATTAGGGGTCCCCAGCTCCCGGGCCACTGACTGGTAGCAGGCTGTGGCCTGTTAGGAACTGGGTCACACAGCAGGAGATAAGTGGTAGGTGGGTGGACAAAGCTTCATCTCTATTCACAGCCACTCCTCATCACTCACATTACCACCCGAACCTCCTGTCAGATCATCAGCAGCTTTAGATTCTCATAGGAGCGTGAACCCTGTTGTGAACTGCACATGTGAGGGATCTAGGTTGCAGGCTCTTTATGAGACCCCAATGCCTGATGATCTGTCACTGTCTCCCGTCACCCCCAGATGGGACCATCCAGTTGCAGGAAAACAAGCCCAGGGTTCCCACCAATTCTACGTAATGCTGAGTTGTAGAATTATTTCATTACATATTTCGATTTATTCTAGTGTACCTAGTAGAGCTTACTTGAATCAGTCTGACTGGAGAAAAAGACAAAAACCTTCCTGAATTGTTGCTGTCCATCACATCTGTCCAATGAAAAAGAATTAATATGAATGACTTGCTCTGCCCCAAGTCGAGTTAATATGGTTGATCTCTATGGGTCTGTGAATATGTTAAGATGTCTGTATGTGGTATAAAATAAATTTTCTTAAGATTTTGTTTTTTAGACTTTTCACGCTTACGATGGACACCCTTCCCTAGGCACAGATACATGTGACACTGCATGTCTCTTCACACCCCCAGTGCTGCCCCTTACCTTTGTACAGAGTCTTGGGTACTTGGCAGGTGTGTCCACACCCGTTTGAACAACATTTCTTCACCCCAGAGCACTCATTGTCAACTTCGCAGCTTTCAACACAGGCGGCCGCAAATCCACTGGCTTTCTCAGGAGCCGGGCAGTCCCCCTGCTTTACCAACAGGATGTATTTGAGGAACTCACAGCTGGTCAAGCATTCGTAGCTCTTCTTGGGGAAGAGAGGCTGAGACAAAGAAGAATTTTAAAAAATATTCCGTTAAAGACACATGAAGTCTGATTTCCAAGACATCTGAAAGGAAGTTCCACATTTTTTCCCTGTCAAACTTTTGCTTGAATATTTGACAAAATGCATATATTTGTTTTCTTTTCTCCTACCAAAGTGACACATTTTGTGCTGATTTCTCAAAGGAACATAATCCATAAGTGATGATTTTATGTTGCATGCAACAGACACACACCAAGTATATGCGCCCACGTTCACAGATCATATATTCTACCTTGGTCAAAGATGTTTGTCAAAAAAACTGACTATAAATAGTCACCAAACCTGTTCAGTACAATTTGAGGGCCCTTTTTGGATTGTATACATTACATGTATAGCACATCACTCTCTTTAATTTTTTTCTTTCTCTCTCTCTTTTTTTTTTTTTTTTTTTTTTTTACAGTTAAGGTCTCACTTCGTCACCCAGGCTGAAGTACAATGGTGCAATCATAGTTCACTGCAGCCTTGAACTCCCAAACTCAGGCAATCCTCCTGCCTCTGCCTCCCAAGTAACTAGAACTATAGACACACACCACCATCCCTGGCTAATTTTTATTTTTTGTAGAGATGAGGTCTTGCTATGTTGCCCAGGGTGGTATTAAGTCCTGGCCTCAAGCAATCCTCCCACCCTTAGCCTCCCAAAGCACTGGGATTGCAGGCATGAGCCGTTGTACCTGGCTACTTTTCCATGTATCATAAATACTCATCAAAATAGCAGGAGCTCTAAAAACCTTTACAATTCTCACAATGATAGAATATTTGTTGGAATTATATAGCACAGTTGTCTAAGCCTGCTAATTGAACATATTTCAATAATTTCCAGCCTTTATGATTAACATGGAATTGTCAATGAGTTGTGCAGTAGAAGAATGTGAATCTTCTTTAAAAATCAGCCCACACCTATGTTATCTGTGACATAGTTGGGGTCTGAACAGCATCTTGCTGAGGACATTTTGGTTGAGCCCAGAATCAATCAACCATTAGTGAGAATAGGAAGCCCTGGACTTATTAGAGGAATGCATTATTGAAAAAGCCTGAGTAATGTGAAAGAGCCATTTATCAAATGCCTATTTTTCCTTAGGAGAAAATGGTTCAGGACAGCACTCGGTCATCCCTAAGACAGGAGCTGCAATCGGAAGATAATGGCTTTTTTCTGCCACTGAACAGAGGAGCTGCTGAGACTTCTAAAAGCTGTCCCACCCAGGGAAAGAAAGGGAAGGATGCTCTCTGTGCTCTTGCCCTCCTTTTTCCTATGGAAGAGAATGGCCAAGACAGGCCCACCAGCCCCAGCCCTCCACCCAGCCCTATCCCTAACCCTCTTTTTGCTTTATAGAAGATGGCTGAAAAGATGATCACCATAACCCTAACTTTTACACCAAGCCTCCTTTTATCCTTATGGGAGATGGTTTCCATGATAACTACTATTCCATTAAAGACACATGACGTCTGCTTGAATGTTTAACAAAATAGATGTATTTGTTTTCTTTTCTCCTATCAAAGTGACATTTTCTCTTATCAAAATGCATTTTCACCTGGAATGCCTGTGCACAGCCAGGTTACATTTCACTGTCTTCCTTTTACCTAGGGGTGGCTATGTTGTTGTGAATGGAATGTAATCAGCAAAGTTCTGTGCCACTGTGGACCGAGGCTTGCAGATGGTGGGGGATGGTGCCCTCATGTTCTTTATTAGCTGGATATGGGTAGCACCACAGCTGTAGGGAATGGTGGGGCCACAGGAGGAGAGATGCCAGAATGCTGTCTGCCCATATGGAGAAGGACAGCACCCTGCCGGAACAGCTGCCTTGAACTGCTCCATGGGCATAAAACAAGTACGCACATGTTTGAACTCTTGTACATATCAAGCTCCGTTCGCTACAACCATTCAGGCTACTTGAACCAATGCAAGGCCATCCAGTGAAGGGCTGCCATGGTTGCTCAACGTTGGAAGTGGAAGATGGACAAGGAGGACCCTTTCTGTTTATCTGATGTCACAACAGGGTTAGGAATATAAGAAATAAATGTGGTGGCTTTGGTGAACAGAAGTCCAGGGGGAGAATAGGAACATCATGCAGCTCCACGCCAGCATGCTGTTTGATGCTCCACAGTGATCCCTAACCAGGGCTCATTACTGGTAACAACTGGGAACACCTGGGTTACACCTGAAGGCTACCTGGGAACACTCGCCTGTGTGCTGCCTGCTGCTGCTCCCTGATGACTAAATATGCCTCTGTACCATCGTGACACCTGTGTAACACCAAGTCATCCCTACCACTGCCTCATAATGCCTGGGCAACACCTGGAAAACACCTGATAAGACCAGCCCATGTGTTGCTGTTGCTTCTCAATGGTGATCGAATATGGTTCCCGACCGCGAGGTAACACCTGCCAAACCTGCCAGCATGCTGCTGGCTGCTCCTCACTGTCAAACAAGCATGACCCTTTAGTCAGATAGGTGTCTGGTAGCACCTAGATACCCTGGAGACAGGAGGTTATCTAGGCAGGAGACAGTGAATGGTTTGGGCTATTAACCAGAGAGTATTTCACCAATAGCGGAGGTATGTTATAAAACAAACAAACAAGCAAACAAACAAAAAAACCACCATTATCAAAGTCTCTAGTGGGAGGTGGGAGGTTGGTGGGAGGAATATCTCTCTTTTCCAAAAAGACAGATAGTTCATTAATTTTAGCCTATGATTCTCAGATTGATGATGACTGGAAATTCCACTGAAGACTCAAAACATAACTTCAGCAAGGAATATCTTAGTAATCCTAGGATAAACTACAATTTCAACATAAATTATTCTCCACTGTCTCACCTGGTTATTTCCCCCAAACAATGTTCAATTAAAATATGCTTAAGAGTTAAGAGGGCAAATGTTATATTATGTGCATTTTACCACAATTAAAAAAAAATTGTGATGAGAATGTGTGCAGCACCACATTGTATTGTTCCATAGTGACAATAATCTTTCTGATACTGTAAATTTAGTGGATGACAAAGCATCAGTACTTCATTACAAGTTAAATACAATTAAATGCCTGTTCTTTTCTTAGATTAACAAAAGGAAAACAGTGGAAACACTAGATAGAAAAACTATAATTTCAAGGTTTGAATTAGAATTGTAGATGTCATATAAAGTTGTTTGTTAGTAATTAATCATATATAAAATGTGAAAATAACATGAGTTGACTGAACTAAAATTATTTCTCAATTTAAGAACTTTAAGGTAAAATTTAGAAGGGCCATGGTGTCAATATTGAATTGTGATAAATTTACAGCTAATTAATTAAAATAAACTTTATAAGCACTTAAAGCATTATCAACTCTGAAGGCTTTTCTCTCTTACTCTATTTCGCAGTTCATTTTTCTGTTAGCTGTTAGATGTATTTTACTTCATCGAGTTTTGAAGCTCTAAATTTAGTTTCAGATCTAAGTTAATAATCAAGGAAGTATGCTAACAGATCTGTGACAATTATATAGCGTTTGCCAACTTTCTTTTTTCAACAGTTCATATACATTACACACAATGAAAGAAAATACTTAATACCAAAATCATCATTGGCTGAGATTTCCAAGTAGAAATACTTGTATTAAATCCAGCAAGTGTTTCCTGCTTGGTAACTTGGAAATCACAGTGACTTAGTTTGCACCATGATATAATGAAATCAACTCAGTTCACACTCTTCACCTATGAAAATAGAGTATGAGTCAAGAATCAGATAAAGTTTGGATCCTCTATTCATATATTATTCTAATTATCTATATGCCAACTGCCACACACTTGAACTGTGAGGGACAGGAAAACAGAGGCCATGTCTCCTTATCTTCATTATTTACTGAACTATTGGGGCAGACATAAAAACAAATAAACAAAGACAGTGACCTAGAATAGTTACGAAGTATGTGTTCCCAATGACTCTAAAAGGGGAATGATCAAAATTAGCCCAACAATTTAGATCTTTCAGTTGATATGAGAGTTACTCTGTATGGATAATCAATGTTTTCCTTTTTGGTAAGGATTCAAACATGATTTCTTTGATTATTTTGGGGATCATAGAAACGCATATGTTCATCTTTGCACTCATGCTTCCTAGACTGGTTTATAATCTTGAAATAATACAGGTAACATTATGAATATTACATGAGGTAATGCACACAAAGAACTAAGCACTACTGTGCATAGTTGGCCCACAATACATACTCAATAATAATTAATTTATATCTTTTTTTCTTTTCCCACTGCTACAAGCTTACTCTTTAACATTTCAAAATTCTTCTGCTATGCTGATGAAAATTTTGTAAGATCCACAGACAGAAGGAAGTCTGTATTTTTCCACAGTGTGTCCAGCCACTAGATTCCAACCCACTACTTCCAGATTAAGCACTGAAATCTGCATCTAAGGAATTGTACCCTGTACTTAAATGAAGTTCATCTTAGAGCAGTGTGGATTTGGTGCAACAATCTTACAGAGGAGCTTTATTTAGCTGTCCTATTAAAGGCAGATTTATCAAAGGGAGGTTTTGATGCTGTCTATTAATTTTCTTTCATAATTCTCTTGGATTAGGTTGAAAAAAATTATTTGTTTGAATATAAATTAGAGAACATATGGTATGTGTACATAAGGTCTCTCTCCAGGTCATTAATCATAGTTTAATGAGAATTTACTAATTGAATGGAATAAGGAGAAAAATGTGTACAGGTCAGAGAAAATGCTGTGTGAATATTAATACTCTAGATATAAACAAAATCTGCAAATTGGTCTCCAGTAGGAAATCCTGTGAACAAAGGTAATTTGAGTGTCACAAAAGTATAATAACTTCTGACCATTAAGCATGTAAAATTTCATGTGATAATACAAGTTAATTACTCAGAGATTTGTTAAAAGGAATGAGAAAATATTAGAAAAAGACATTCAAATCAGTATGCATGTAATACCCATCAATTTTATGGTGAATAAAC